TAGGCCTATAGGCCTGGAGAGCTAAATTATATATATATATATATATATATATATATATATATATATATATATATATATATATATATATATATATATATATATATATATATTGTAAAAACTACTTGGCAAAATAAAAAACAGAAGTCAACTACTTCATAAGTTTATCGAAGACGTTTCGCTTTATAGTTCTAAAGCTTCATCAGTTCTCTAAAATACAAAGATGACATAGAGTTTATAAGAAATACAGATCTAATAATTCATTACTTACAACTCAATATGTAGTATTAAAGATGTTATCGTATATGTACTTAAGTTTACTCATAAATTTAGAACTAACTTAAAAAAAAATTTAAACAGAAATATGCAAAAAATAACATTCGCAGAAACGAAGATTTACAAAAACTTTAAACGTACATTTGGCTTCATTTAGAGATGGTTCTCCAATGAAGACAAACAAAACACTGATTTATTGCAATCTACGCCAAAACGACGTGGCAGAGCAAATGATCTATTGGTCGAAAATTTTGGATCCTGGGGAGTGCGCAAAGATACTCAAACGTTTGGTTTCGATTAACAGAACAGAAGAAAATAGTTTTTCCATTAATTAGTAATTGGAAATAGGAATAATTAAACTCGTAAACCACTAATATACATTTATTTCAAATATACAAAGTTTATTTTTCATATCACAGCGTTAATTGGCACAAAATTTTCATATTAACAAATGTATTTGTTTTTAACTGCCAAAATCCCATAATTTTTTGAGCATTGGCTAATCAGTATCGATGATTTTCATTCCCTCTCGTAACGGAAATTCGAAAAGGTCAATTTTTAAATATACCCATGGATTTATTGACATAAAGCAAACAGTAATCCCGTCATATTATCGAAGCCTGAAATTAGGATGAAAAAAAAATCAGTAGAAAATTAAAAGAACACCCAGTAGCACCAAATGCATGCAAAAGAATAAGCATGTTCTTATTTTCATAAAACCATCACCACAATTAAAAAAAAAAAACGTTTATGACACCATAGGTCAATAGTAATCACTCAACACTAAATGTCACGAACTTGCTACAACGCATAGCTATGTTCTGTTTTGTTATTGTCTTCCTATTAAATCGCTCGCCCTCCATTTCTCATAGTTCTAATCTATTTCATTTTGTTTATTTTGCCCATCTGTAATTCTCTCTTGTTCTGTCGGATCTGTTACGGTTTTTCCTTGCGTCATACTGGTATATAATAAAGAATATAAATTCATACAAATATAAAAACATTATACTAGGAATTTAAATAACTCAGTGATATGGCCTTAAATAACAGGTTGTTTCTAGTTCTTTTCTACTCAAAAACAAAATATTCAGTCTTGTCTAATATTTTAAGGCATAGAAGAAATCGTCACACCACTGTTTCTGTATACAAAACTTGACTTTAAATGTATCTGTTTTTTTTTATAAATATTTTAAATATAAAAAGCGTAACCAAAAATAATCATGTGCCATTTTAAAGTCAACCAATAATCAGTATAAATTTAAATTCCAAACTTACAAACTAACACATAACTTAAATGTTCATAAATTATTGAATGTATGTTTGTCATTAATAAACTCTTTTTTCTTTTGTTGTCCACCTTTGATAGTTTTTCTCTTCTTTTTTTTCTGTATGTCTTGCTTATATTATTTGTACTCATTTCAAAAAATTCAACATCAACCTAATCTTTGAGATCGCTTTCACGGATAAAAAAGCCCTAACAGCTTGTCAGAAAATAATCTCACGCCATTTTCATAAAAATTCATAATTTCGCTTCAGAAAAATCATAATTAGGATAGGCGATAAAATAAAACTTTTGTCGGTTGGTATTATAGATGGGTTAATATAACAAAACCTAGTTTGTTGTTTATACATTTCTATTTTTTTTTTTTTAACAAATTTAAACAAAATAAGATAATCTAAACCACTTTTAAGTAATCTTGATTACTTTTTTAATATGTATACACAGGGTAGTTATTTGTAAAAAATGTAATAAAACCCATAAACCAGGTCATTCAAAGTTAAACCTCATTTGCATAAGTGTGGTCATATTTTAAACATCTTCCAAAAGTTACAAAACATAATAGAAATCACTCAAAGAGCTACCATAAGAAACTTAATTACTTTAGACCCGACATTATTGGTTAAGAAGCTACCTTTAATATGGGCTTTTGATAGAGAATTATATGGGTTCGATTCCCACTAGAAAATCAAAAAGTATTTCCCAGGGGTCCTGAAAGATATAGATTTTCATTGTTTAAGATATTTCCTACGGAAGATTTTGAAATTGTGGTATACAATGACAGTTACATTTGTTACATCATTGTGTCGCCCTGTTTTATTATTTTTTGGGACCACTGTACCTGCTTCTTTTAATCGTTGATGAAGAGCTGTAAATGTTGAGTGAGAGGGTATGGGATCCTTACGATTGGGAAATTTTTCAGCATCTCCATGTTGTGCTGCTCGAGCGTTACACCTGATTCCGCCATAAATTAAATGCATATCAGCGTATTCCTCATTAGTAAACACCATTTTTGTTAAATTGAAATTGTTTTGTATGAATGCCACAAAGAAAAAAAAACTAAAAGATAAACTTCGCGAACTAACAATTTGACAAGGAAAAACGTAGGTTATACTTTTATTGGCAGTTCAAAGCCAACTAGTGCTAAAAATATTAATTTAACTTTCATACCGAAATAACGAAAAATTTTAAAATCGATTTTTCTAGAAAACTGTGTATTCTACTGACTTCAAGTAAGAGTTCCTTTTAGTACTAGAATACCTGAAAATTTATTATTCTAGTATCGCGAATGCTTAGAAGGTAAAGACAGAAACGTTATGGGTTAAAATAACCGTTGACCTACACAAAACGGACGCCTATGACCAGTATTAGAAATTCGCAATTGACGAAATCGACTTAACTGTGGAGGATAAATAATCATACCAGTTTTCGTTTTTCTAAAATTCTTAAAAGCATTCTAGAGGCATTGAAAAAAAAACTAATTACAAGGCGCCATCTTAAAAGAACTCTAGCTCCCTTAGGAAGCATTTCTGGATACACCGTATATATATATATATATATATATATATATATATATATATATATATATATATATATAAATATATATATATATATATATATATATATAAATATATATATATATATATATATATATATATATATATAAAATATATATATATATATATATATATATATATATATATATATAAATATATATATATATATATATATATATATATATATATTTATATATTCTAATTTACTTTAGACCACATGGTCATTTGCTGTGCTAATTTTATAAGTTCATATATGTTGTTAGTTACTTAATTGTTTATACAAAATCAGCGTATTATGTCCATTTACTTAGTTTCATTCACACTATTGTTAATAACATTGACTGCTACATGTCTTTTTAAGGTAACAATTAACATCGTTTCCATGATTGTGTGGTTCTCATATTGTAAAATTTTTTAGATGAACTGATGATGCTTTCAAAACTCGAAAGCGAAACGTCTTCAAAATAGCTAAAGTAGCCTATCAACTTTGTCTTTTATTTCTCCACCTAGAGACCGATATAAGAACCCACCACTCGTCTGGGATTTTTTTATACTTTGGCAACTATGTCAACTTCGATCTTTGACGTAGATAATGACGTGCATCGGTATGTAAATTAGATGAAATATATATATTATATATATATATATATATATATATATATATATATATATATATATATATATATATATATCTACAGATATCTGCAAAGGAACTGCTTCCGCTCAAAATTGGGTATGGCACATTAAGAAGAATGTATACTGTACATTTTAATATATTAACAATTTAGATTATTAAAAAAATTTAAATTTTTTTTTATATATTGTATAATATTATTTTAACAAATAAAAACTAAAACATTTTGTCAACTAAAAAAATTTTAAACTGGCGCGGTCTATATCTTTGAAAACTTGCAGAGAATTTGTCTAGTTATATCTAATTTGTACGGTATTTAGTATAACACTACTTCACAATTGACTTTTTCATATATGTACGGAAGTAATATTCGATAACTTTTGCTTTTTAGTGTGTTAAATGTCATTTTTACATAATTTGCACAAAAAAAAATGTTGGAAAAGATACGTATAGAGTCAAACTTTACACTGATAATATCAAGTCATAAAAATCATTTATTCAGAAAAAATTAGTGGTGATTAACCTAAAGACATGTTTTATTTATAAGTAATTTTACAGCCTACCCTAATTATGATTTTTTTTCTGTTGCTTATAAAGGAATAAACAGATAATTAGAAATAAGTTTCACAGTGAAAAATCTTTCTTGTTTACGATGAAAATATAGTTTTCTAAAACCATTTCAATAAACCAACAATCTAATCATTTACATTAGTTTCTCCATAAGTTTATATCTTGGGTCACACCAATATCAATCCCCTTTACCGAGATGTCCTGCTAGGAGTCTCACCCTAGGTCTTCTTTAGTCTTTCACCTCCACTCTTACATACATTACTATAATCTCTAGATAGATAAATATCAGAAACGAAGAATGTATAATATAAGCCTAAATAATATCAGAATATAGCCAAAAAAGTCAAAATGCAAGAAATGGTAGAGGTTGAACATATTTTAGAATTACAAAGTTGCGATGATAGGATAATATACAGAGAATAAACAAATGTAGAATAGACAAACAATTTAGGTACTACACATCCCAAAAATGAACAGTAGTGAAAATATGAGATGGCAGCATATGAGGGAACTTGGTTTTTGACCTGTGGGAGGAATATCATAGTTTTAATACACTCTATAACTAATTAGAACCTTTAACGGCATTAAAGTCTCATTAATTATGTATATTATAAATGATTGTAAATCATCCATATTAGTGTTAAAAAAAAAACAATAAAGCAACCAAAAAATCCTGAAAATTACTTACGTTTCAACATATTGCCCATACTGCTTATACTTCTGGTACAATGACGACAGCTTCACTGAGACGATGATAGTCGGTATGAAGAGCAACAAACTGGCGAATAACGACACCCAAAAACCGTTCTGGAATTTCAAAAATAAATTAAAAAGGCAAATTTATACAATAAAATGACAAAATATACATATATACACATACAAGTTGTGTGATTAATTCTTTTTTAATGCTGTCGCTCTTAAATGTACGCCAAATAAAAAATATACAACGATATCCCTCATACTTTCACACTACTTTTAAACTTGTTAAAAGATTAAGATTTATATTAAATTTACAAAACGTCCATAGTATTTCGTTTTCATATTAAGCATATAAATTTTCCATAATATAAACTAAAATATATTTACTCAAACTGTCCACAGCTTTGAACAAGAAAAAAAGTTAGGATATCAAAGCAACTAATAAATTACAAACAAGGAAATATAACATTATTTATCTTTTAGATAGCCCAAAAAAATAGAAATAAGCTTAAAACTGACTTAGACAATGTAGGAAAAGATATATTACATAGAATTAGTACAAATATGGTCTACTGTATGAACTTCAAAAGTTATAAAAAATGGTTAGTAGAGAAAGTAATTTCTATCTTGCATCAGAGATCTAAGCTAGAAATTGACAATGCTCATTATCGTTTTGTTCAAAACAATATAGGACCAAATTGTAATAACAGGAAACACGTTAAGCTAACGTAACATAATAGGTTAGTTAAGGTATACAACATTTACTTTGATACTATTGTGTTAAAGCCCGATTTATATAATATCGGTAAACTCAATAAGCCAAGATTAAAATCTTTAAAGATGAAATTTTAACACAAAATGGTCGTACAAAATGTAAAGAATGAAAACAAACGTTAAAAATAAATATGTACATAGCGTGTTTACTTACAAGAGAGAATGGTATACAAATGAACTAAATAGAAATAAGAAATAATACTGGAGAACAAAAAAATTTATTCTATTACATGCAATAGTGTAACTAATTTGGGGTAACTAAATTGAGGTATTTCGTACTCATAAAACACTGAAAAGTTTGTTTTCAAACTTCCACAAAATTTATTTAACTATTATCACTACAGCTGTTTCAGCTTAATGCCTTTCTCAAGTGATGGCAAGTGATGGCAAATACAACATTTTCAATTACCTTACAACTCCAGATTAATTTCATTTGACGTAAAAAATCTTTTTCCTAGTATCCCTCCTACAGAAACTTTTATTCTAGTAAAAAACCTTTTAGATCAAAATAGTACAAATCCAATAATTACATCTGAAATTTTACATCTTCTTGAAGTTTGCATAAACCAGGACTACTTTGAATTTAATGATCAAATATATACAAATAACAGTGCAGGACTTATAATGGGTAATCCTCTAAGCCCATTACTATCAGATATTTTTATGGACCATCTAGAGACAAAGATTTCAAAACATCCCGTATTCAAACAATTTCTATATTGGTGGAGATACGTAGACGACGTACTGGTATGTTTCACAGGAACTAACAGGCAATTCGACCAATTTTTATCGTATATTAATTCACTTCATAGTCATATTGAATTTACAATAGAAACAGAACAAAATCAATCCATAAATTTTTTAGATATAAAAATTATCAGATTTAAAAACAAACATGACTTCTCTATATTTCATAAACCTACACATACTGACACGACTATTCACAATTCATCATCCCATCCAATACAACATAAACTGGCAGCTTATCATAGTATGTTACATAGATTAACAGAAATTCCGATGTCAAAATACAACTTTGAGACAGAATTAAATATAATTAAGCAAATAGCAGTAAACAACGGATACAACGAACAAACAATTAATAAAATGTTAAATCAAAAACTACACAAGAAAGCCCTGAAATTAGTATTTCCACCACCAGAGAAAAAACCCAGTACCTTCTGCTCGATTACATATACAGGCAAAATAACAACAAAAATAGCCAAACACATAAAAAAGAAAGGAATAACACCAGCTTTCCGAACAAATAACAACCTAGGCAAATATATTAAAAATAACAAGAGCCAAAATAAAAAACACTTAAATAGTGGTGTGTACAAACTTCAATGTGGCAACTGCCTAAAAACTTACATCGGTCAAACTGGTAGAAACTTTAATAAACGATTAGCAGAACATAAAAGGGCTTTCAATAATAGAAAAACAGATTCGACATACGCACTTCACCTTCTAGATCTAATCATTCTTTTAATGACAAATTTAAAATTCTTCACATTCAAAATAAAGGCCTTAAGCTATCTTTGTTAGAATCTATGGAACTCAACAAATTAAAAAATACAGATATAACTCTAAATGACCAACTTGAGACAAACAGTTCTCCCCTCCTCAACCTATTTCATTAGAGACTATAAATTTGTAAACCCAAGCCAAAAATAGATCACTTGAGAAAGGCAATCAGCCGAAACAGCTGTAGTGATAATAGTTAAAATAAATTTTGTGGAAGTTTGAAAACAAAGTTTTCAGTGTGGATGCGAATTATTTCGTAGTCACTTAATTTAAATCAAAATTTTTCTGGATGCTGTATTTTCTGGAATTTGATATTTAATGTATATGCATAAAAATAACCATAAATAATTACCAAACCAAATAATTACTCTGACCATTATCATGGGATATTTTATAGATAGCGTTATAGGCGACATTAACTCATACCCCATACCATTATACCCTCTACTACCACGCGACTGCTGTTTGGACAGAAACGCAGTACAGTGACGTGTCTATAATAAGGCCCATGCCCGTTATTACTTTCGGTGATGGTACTGTTTATGACAAGAGTAGATTAGAAAAGTTGTTTTATTTATGAAAACGGCTTTATTAAGTGGATTTAGGTGTTTAAATAGTTATGATGCATTTTCTTAAGTATATGGCTGATACACACACGCTAAATCGTTAAAGGTGATATATTCCGCTTCCTCACGTTTTATGTCACAATTGTGAAAGCTTCGTGACTGGAGTGAATAACGGTTATCTTTACATGGTCAACATAAAAGGAGTATGTAGTCAACAAAAAAGGCACAGTATCCGTTATTCAAATATTTTCTCTGCTGACAGTGAATGGCCCAGTTGTTAGTCGAGAGATCGTTTTTCCTCCTCTTGGCCTGAATTTTGGTTGTCTGAGGCAATTCGTTGAGGCATTGGACAGAGATAGCGAGTGTTTTGAGCGCACAATTCCCACATTTGCAGTTTTGCCGTAGGAATTTCAAAGCATGTGTTTCCGATGGAAAGCAAGTTCAATAGGAAGTTATACGTGACAAAGAAATTGTAATCAAAATGAATAACAAATTAACAAAAAGTCGACAATTTTATGAGTCGGGTGTAATATGAGTATCAAGCTTTATTTCTTGAATACTTACATAGATATATTTCATCGAGTATTCATCGAGACTGTGCGGTTAAAGTAAGCAAATGCATATACAAGTGTAAATACTTGGCAGAAAAGGATCTGTACTCGACAGAAGAAAGTTTGTGGATTTCATAATTGTATATTTATTTATGAAACGTAATCTTTATGTTAAATGTTATCTTTCAAAATCTTAAAAAATTATGTAATAAGCAAAAAAATAAAAATTTATTTAAAAATGTAATCTATATTGGAATCAAACAGCCCACATGAAGAATGGACATATGGTGAGTGAAAACATAATCATTTCTAGAGGGGTAGGACAGGGCTGTATTCTTTCGCCACTGCTTTTCAACCTGTACACGGAACAAATATTTCTAGAGGCACTAGAATGGTACAATGAGGGCATCAAGATTAATGGCGTACCAATAAGTAATTTTCGATATGCAGATGATACTATTATACTGGCCGATAACATCGAAGATTTACAGATGATGCTACATAGAGTTAATACAACTGGCAGCCGATTTGGACAGAAGATCAATAGAAAGAAAACTAAATTTATGGTGATCAGTAAAAAAAAATTTCAACATATCGACCTGCATATTGAAGACGAACGTATTGAAAGAGTACACCGATTTAAATATCTGGGATATACAGTAAATGACAAGTGGGACCCAGAAGTAGAGATTAAGATCCGAATTGAAATAGCAAGATCCAAATTCATCAAAATGAGAAAGCTCTTAAGCAACCGCAACCTAAGCATTAACCTCCGATGGCGCGCCACGAAATGCTACGTACTCTCTACGCTACTTTACGGCGTAGAAGGGTGGACGTTAACAGCAGCAACTATAAAGAAGTTAGCGGCTCTAGAAATGTGGCTGTATCGACGCATACTGAGAATACCTTGGACAGACAGAGTGACCAACACAGAGGTATTAAGACGAATGGGTAAAGAGGTGGAATTGTTAACAACTGTTAAAAGGAGAAATGCGTCATACCTGGGCCATGTGTTCCGTAATGATAAGTACAGTCTGCTACAGCTTATCGTGGAAGGCAAGATTGAAGGTAGAAGAGGTTTGGGCAGAAAGAAGAAATCCTGGCTGAGAAACTTGAGAGAATGGTTTCAAATACCAGAAGCTGCGAACATAATTCATGCGGCACAAAACAGAGAAACCTATCGTATGATGGTCGCCAACCTTCGGTAGAAGACGGCACATAAAGAAGAAGAAACATGTAATCTTTGTATGTAAAATATACATATTGTAAAACTATATAACATATATAAAAAAAATATCATTGTTTTTGCGAAAAATCAGTAGATCGCAGGGATTAGTAATAATAGAGAATAATTTCATATTTAAAATCAGTTGTATTTGTATACATGCAACAAATTTTCTGTACCCTAATATAATCAATTAAATTGTCAAAAATGTTCGTTCCGAAAGGCAGTCATACGATCAAATTCGTACCCCCATAATACTCTTAGATAAAAACAACAGACGTACAGTATTGTGCGAATTAATGGAATCATAGGCTGTTTTAATGAAAAAACAGTTTATTTAGTAAAAAATTATATTTTGACAAAACTATAAAGAATCAAAAGACTGATATGTTTTTTGTACACACTTATGACAAGTCAAAAGAAAAGGCAAAAAAGTATTTTTGAAGTGTGTATATTTTTAATAATTCCTAGCTGAGCGCTTTCGGCTTTACAAAGAAAGCCATCATCGAAGCTATGCTACAATAAAATGTTTTTATAAGTAACTAATTGGTGAAGATTTTAATTTTATACTTACGTCAATTTATAAATACCACTACAATGGAGAGATCTCATTTCCTTATTTGTTGAAATTGAAAAAAAAACATACAAAAAACCGACATTGGACTTCACAGACACATTAAAAAATTTTTGTCATGGTACGGGTGTAAGAACCCGACCATTGTTTGCTGTGAGGAGGTAGATAGAATAGAACTAATGAAATCAAATGTCGGTCCATTTAAACGATTTTTGAAAAGTGACAGTTGACAAATGTCATGTATAGGAAATAGAGATTGTTTTTAATTCTTACAAAATTATTTAAAAGTTTGGAATTACTAATAGTCATCAAAGACTTTCTAAAAATTAAGTTTTTAAGCTTTTAAATTAAATCTTATGTGTTCATCACATCATACAGAATGATATTAGTTTGTAAATTGACTCAAGTCATTGATCAAGGTCAATGTATGTTCAATCTGACAGTCATCCCTAAGAAACAAGGGTTCAAATCGTTCAATAATAATATAAAGAAGAAACATGGTATTAATGTTACATGATCTGATATTTAAGTGTATTGAGAATTGTATCTCTTGATGGAAATTTGTAAGAAATTTGCATAAAAATTTTTTTTAAAGAATATATTTTCTAAAGAATATATTTTCATGTTTCAATTAAGAATAACTTGTCAAATGAATTACAAAATGTTGTAAATTTATAATAAAGTATAGAATTTTTGTTTAAAAATATAAAATTATGAAAGAATGTAATATGGAAAAAAATTTCCATCAAGAGATACAATTCTCACAGATCATGTAACATTAATACCATGTTTCTTCTTTATATTATTATTGAACGATTTGAACCCTTGTTTCTTAGGGATGACTGTCAGATTGAACATACATTGACCTTGATCAATGACTTGAGTCAATTTACAAACTAATATCATTCTGTATGATGTGATGAACACATAAGATTTAATTTAAAAGCTTAAAAACTTAATTTTTAGAAAGTCTTTCATGACTATTAGTAATTCCAAACTATTAAATAATTTTGTAAGAATTAAAAACAATCTCTATTTCCTATACATGACATTTGTCAACTGTCACTTTTGAAAAATCGTTTAAAGGGACCGACATTTGATTTCATTAGTTCTATTCTATCTACCTCCTCACAGCAAACAATGGTCGGGTTCTTACACCCGTACCATGACAAAAATTTTTTAATGTGTCTGTGAAGTCCAATGTCGGTTTTTTGTATGTTTTTTAAAAAAATTTTAACAACTAAGTAATTAAAAAAAAAACAAAAATTTCAACAAATAAGGACATGAGATGTCTCCATTGTAGTGGTATTTATAAATTGACGTAAGTATAAAATTAAAATCTTTTTGGCAGCAATTACTGCTTTTACCCGTTTTGGCACAGATTCTATGAGTTTCTAGCAATTGTCAGATATCCTTTCATCTCGATACCAAACCTGAATGGCCGCTTCTATCATTTTTGTTTTAGTGGTACAGTCGATTTTTCGCAGTCTAGCTTTGCAAATGGCCCATAAATTTTCAATGGGGTTGAGGTCGGGCGAATTACCGGGCCAATCTAAAACATTAATCTTCTTATTTTTGAAAAATGCCATCATTTCCTTTGATTTGTGACAGGGAGCAGAGTCCTATTGAAGAATCACTCCTCCTTGGGGTTGACATTTTTGGAGTTGTTTGTCCAAATACTTCTCCAACATGGATTTGTATTTTTGGCTGTTCATTATGCCTTCAATTGGCACCAAAGATCCAACCCGCATGTATGAAAAACATCCCCAAAACATTTTCTTGTGAATATTGAAAAAATGAAAAAAAATTCAGAGTGATTCCATTAATTCGCACAATACTGTATTTCACACATTCGGTCAAAAACTTACCCATGGTTGCAAAATTTTATCACAAGTTGAGACTAAAGTGGAATTTATAGCCACGTTCAAAGGTCCACACTGTCCAATCTTATTCTTCGTCACATCAATTACTCTGTCGATGAAGCTATGTACTTGATCCTTAACTATATTTCCGAAAGACATTGCAGCCTAAAAACACAATTTTAATTTTTAAAATTAATCAATACTAGATATAAAAAATACAACAAAGTTTAATAAATAAGAACCTCTTTCATTAACTGCTAGTACAATACAGAAATATTATTAGATATTTCAAATTTTGTATGTTTATATATCATTAATTGTAGGCAGTCATTATTATAATGTTGTGATGTATTTTTAATCATACTTAGAAAACAAAAAAGTAGTTGTCATTGGCCAGAAGAAGCGACATCCTTTCCAGGCGGAGATCGTCTACCCACTCTCGTCTAGATATAGCAACAGTAAAGGACTTTGGACATAAAATAAACGTTCTGTCGACAAATGAGGAAGGAGGAGGATGAGGACAACAACCCAATTCTAGAAGAAATTTGAGAATGGAAAGGTCCAGAGAAGTTTAATATTCACTGCATGTCGTTTCAATTTTAATTTTTAAGACATTTAAAATGTATTCAAGAGGTTATTACACATTTTTAAGTGGCTAGTTTCAAATGATAACTATGTAAGCATTTACCATTTCTTCCGATTAACAGTCAACATTTAATCCTTTGTTATTCATTATATTAACGTAAAAATACTTACTTTTAGGAGCTCTTACTTTTTAATTTAAATGAAGTACATGTCGTGAGGCTATTAGTTAAATTCAAATACAATATTATATCCAAACTTCCTTTACATGTTAAACTAGTATCTTACAGTCCAAACCTTTCCACACAATTTCCTATCCTCTGCTCTAGCAGGACTCCCATTAAGATATATTACACCACATCTAATCTTAAATATCCACCTTATATCATTGAAACAAACTTCATCACATATATTATCCATATCAACACTCAGTATAATCAAATTCCTGCAGTGATTGCAGAAATATGATACACGCGGCAGCTCTACATGAAATGCAAATGGCATAAAAATTGAAGATTTTCCCTATACTCGATTCACAATTTGTTGATAGCTCACTACAAATCTAATCCTAATTAGAGAACTGAAATACAGAGAGGATAGGTAATACGATATAATAGTAAAAACCAACCTGAAACTGACGATTTAAGATGTTTTCGACTAACCCACCTTGTATCTGCCGGAATACAATACAGCGGTCAAGCTTATAATCCGATTAGGAACGTATTTTGGCCGACCAGTGTCGTAGAGTATATGATTGAAACATTTATTTGAACTAAATAAATATATTCTTTAAATTGTATTTTTGTTTTAATAAAACTTATAATAAAATAAAATATTTTATTCAAAAATAAAGTTTTTTGCCATTTGTAAAAGAGATTTATTTAATTAAGGGGAAAGGCACCAAATGTGTTTTAAATGTATCCATTATTTTCGAATTCGGAGAAAACTAATAAATATTTTTGAAAAATTTAAAAGCAGAATGAAAGATTACATTATTACTGAGGGTATTATATATGTGTATACTGATGTATATTACAGAAAGTCCCTGAAAACTTCTACAATGTTTATTTTATTATGTTATGCAACAGGGGTGAAAATAAAAGAGAGAATATAGTATAATTTTTAATTGAAAATATTGCATGCAAAAGAAACTTTTTATTTATTCTAATAAATATTTTATTCTGCCTTTAAATTTTTCCAAAAAGGCTTTTTAGTTTTCTCAGGATTTGAAAAAAAATCGATACATTTAAAACACATTGAACATTTTGACAGGCGACGTTTTGCGCCTTTCCCCTTTAATACCTTACGATTACAACTACTATCACTTACCTTATATAATTACGATTAGAAAACTATTCAAATTCAAAATAAATAGGATCAACTTCGGAATCCGAGTCGTCTTGAGGGTTAATAATTAGCGGTTGTGTCTCTACGGTCGCATCAATTATGTTATCAAGATCCCACATTTTTTGTTCTTCTTCTATTACAGGTCTTACTGCATCTTTCCAGTTTTGTTCTGTAATGTGTTGTAAAGACTCATATAACAATTCACGTACAGCTTGTATTTTATATGACGTATTTTTTCTAGCCACATAACTTTTCATTTGTCTTCCAAATGAGTTCAATTGGATTTATTTCACAGTGGTAGGGTGGAAGTCTAAGGACTGTGATGTTTCTCCTTTCCGCCATTTTGTCAACTACGTATTTCTTGAACTTAGATTTGTGTTGCCGGGCAATTTTTAAAAGTTCTGCTTTTACCATTCCTTCTTCGTAAGGCAGGTACTTATTCCGCAGCCAGTCAAGAATATCCTGTTTTTTCCACGCAGTCGTTGGAAGTCTTTCTACTAGTCGTGAATGATAAGGTGCATTATCTAATACTATAATTGAATTTGGTGGTATGTGTTCAATCATCTGCACAAAATACTCTTCGAAAACATCAGCTGTCATCTCCTCGTGATAGTCTTTTGTGCTTTTGGATTGAAATTCCAACAAACCATGCTTAACAAATCCTTTTTCACTGCCAATGTGAGAAATTATTAATCTACTGCCTTTACCAGAAGGTGGGGAGATTCCAGTAGACCAACCTTCCATAAAGGCTTGCCTGGAGCTTAATATATTTTTATCTGACCAAACTTTTTTTAGAGTATGACCTGAGTTTACCCACGATTCATCCTGGTAGAAGATTGGCCTTCCTTCAGCCCGGAATTTTCGTATGGATCTTAGATAATTTCTTCTCCAACATATTATCTCCTCCCGGTCAATCAAAAGTGATTTTCGGTCTGATTTCTCCCACCGGAAATTTAATTCTTTTAAAACTTGCCACAATTTAGTTCGTCCGATATGAGGCAAATCCGGATCATCTCTAACTTCTTGTAAAATTTTATTTAGGTTTGGTATTTCTTTTTTGAAAAAAAAAATCCATGAATTTTCCTTCGAATACCATTTTTGGCAAATTCATCAAGTTCAATAGGCTTTTTCCCTCTCTTTAAGTGTTCGTTTGTGTTTGGGTTAGCTATACCGTGTTTTTTTCTTTCTGATAGGAACCTATATATAGTTGACTCCCCTACGCCAGTCATATTGGCACAACTTTCGACTATGTTGCGAACAGTGTTTGTGGGATTCGGAGAAACCAGAGCATCGTGAACATTCAGGACAATAGTCTTCTCTCTTGGTGAATAGACAGACTTACTGACTGTACGCAACAGTACCGGTGTAAAACTTGATGATGTTGATGATGAAGCCATCAGAAACAATCCAACAAAACGAGCACGAGCGAAAGGTACGTATATGTTCGTAGGTATATGGAATAAAAAATCACTCACGCACAGCATATAATTCGCAAAAGAAATATTTGCCGTAAATTCCATGCGATCAAAAACGTACTAAACAAACAAATTGTTTTCGTTCGTAATAACTTCACCCTTTTAAGTTAAGTTTCGAATATAAACTAAACAGACGAGGTACGCGGCCAAATCCGGCATCTATACCCATTATATTATTAAAAATCTGGGGAATTCCATCCTAATTATCTTGCAACCGATAGTACCTTCGGATATAAATACCAGGTTTTCTAGTAAAGTGATTAAACGCGAAGATTAGTATTGAAATATCCAAAGAGATAAGGTATTCTTATTTACAAAATTGGTAATGGTTAAATTATTATTTTAATTAATATAATATAATAACCAACATTAGCCGTGAAAGTTTTAATTGTTTTTTACTAAATATATCAGTATTAAAACATTATTAATATTAATATTAATTTTAATGAATAAACACCTCAGGAACGCCTATGATGATACAAATTTTACGACCGTTTGATGATTTTGAGGCATATTTCGTGCTATCAACAATTTGTGAACAGAGAATAGTTCGAACCTTTAATATTTAATGTAAATTGTGAAACTTATCATGTTGTTAGCATTTTGTAGCAAACATACATAATATCTACAACAGCCTAGAAAAATTTGTAAAATTAAAGCAGGATTATCATTGTATACTTACCCAATAAACAAGAACGAAAGCAATGTGCACACACACACACACACACACACACACACACACACACACACACACACACACACACACACACACACGCACACACTCACACCCACACACATACACACTCACACCCACACACATACACACTCACACACACACACACACACACACACCCACACACATACACACTCACACACCACAGTTTAGAAAAATATATTTTACTTACGTCAATCAACATCTTTGATCCGTCCTCTCGCAGCTTCCTCTGAGCATCTTCTATTTCATTTATCAGCTTATCTATGGCTTCTTTAAAGCTGGTTGAATTCATTTTCAAACTCGAGTCGAGATGCAAAGCTATATTCTACAAATATACAAAAACACTTCTCATCCAGTTAAACAAACTTTTATGTTTTTTGTATAGTAAGTATTAAGACTAGTAGATAATCTGTACTGCAAATATGACACAGTTTGCATCAAATAAGCTTTACATGAGTACTGACACAGTTGTGTATATAGTGAGTACTTTTTGTTTCTATTTCAATTTAGGGAACATTTAAAATAATCAGATATATTTGTAACTTACCATGACTTCCTTAGCCTTGTTCCTCATCGGTCCAAGAATTTTCTCGTCATATGTTGTGACGTGAAGAATACTCAGTTTCAAACCAGTCTGTATCCCTGCCAATAGTGGGTCACTGTCCATATGTTCTACTAGCTTTTGGAGAACTTCCGACAGTTTTTTCAGACTCATATTGGTGAAATTAACTTTCAGCTAAAAAAACAACAGTTCATTATTTTAAAACCATATTTAGATTTATGAAAAAAGAAAATACGGGTGTATCCTGAGCTGAAAAAATAAATAAACATCACATAATGCCCCCATTTGTGGTGTGTGGTGTGGTGTGTGGTAATTTGATTGTTGTAATTTGATTGTTCTAATTGTTTTAATTTGATTGTTGTGATTGTCTTAATTTAATATTTATAATGTATTTGTTTCTAAACACTATTTTATTCAAAAAGCCGTTCAATTATCTGATCTCAGTCTATATGCTTTCAGATTTAAAGATTCTGAAATTTTTTTGTTATAAGTCAAAACATAGCACTGCAAATAATCTCGTAAGAAACTAGGAGCAAACAACTAGGTAACCTTAGTGCAATGAAGTCATAAAAGAGTTACTGGAAACAAAAAACATAATTAATTTAAAAAAATTACAATCAACAATTACCTCATCTTGAAAATGATCAAAATTGATTCCCGGATCAAAGCTGGATAAGTTCCTTAATATATTTAAGTTGGTGTTATTCAAAATGGTAAAATGAGGATCCACGATTCTATCCAACTGATGCTTGATACCGTCCAAAACTGACTCTACGTCGAACTGTTTTCTTATGTCATCCACGTTGAACTTTTTCGCCAAATTGAATACTTTGTAGATGCTGTCGTTCCTATAGCAGAGATTGAGGATAGTGCTGAGTCTAACATCAATGTCCACTTTGTTTAGTTTTATGTTCTTTACTATATAATCGTCGACTACGTTTAATACGCTAGATTTTTCAGGGTGGCGTAGCGGATAGCAAATGCCTCTGTCACTTGCCATGCCCAGAGCCAAAGTTGCAATGGTAACTACGCCGATGATGAGGGAGAATAAGAACATCAACATTACTCCGCTATAACAGTAAATAAATTAGTTTTTTTATTATATTAAAAATATATACAAGAAAAAAAATACTGTAGGCAAAACATAAGGGTATAAAAAAGTTGGGAAGCAATTTATTGTGAAAAATGTGCGGAGTGGCAACAAAAAATTGTATAAAAGTGTAGCCCACTATATAATATGCAATAAAAAAGTTATTATCTATAGAGTTAGAGTATTTAAAACAATTTTACATCCAATACAGTTGTGTCATAAGTAGCTCAAACATGAGTGTTTTTGGTGTAGAATGATGAGGGTCAGAAAAGAAAAAATAAACTCAACTACCGAGATATTCACGATCACTGATTTTAATAAATAGCGTTTCATGAGTTCAGCCTATGAAACATATTAATAAAATTAAGCAATTTAAAAAAATACAAATTAAACATAATATTAATTGGGCTGTCAACAAAATCGGAAAAGAACTAGAACAAAACAAAAGACTTAATATGGTAGATAGACAAAAAAATCAACTAGCTTAATTGGTTGTATACATTTCAAAATAGCTTCTTAGTTCTATACGAGACACGTGTTCGTAAGCTCACATCATAAAACCATAAGATAACTACACATCATATGAATTACCATTACACTATCTGGGAAAAATCATTGATTTTTACAAACAATACAAACAAAAACAACAACAAATTAAAAAACACAGATATAATTCTGAATGACCAACTTGAGACAAACAGTTCTCCCCTCCTCAATCTATTTCATTAGAGACTATAAATTTGTAAACCCAAGCCAAAAATAGATCACTTGAGAAAGGCAATTAGCCGAAACAGCTGTAGTGATAAAATTTAAAATAAATTTTGTGGAAGTTTGAAAACAAAGTTTTCAGTGTTTTATTGTTACATAAAATGAATTTCCATCAAGTAACGGTCGAATCCATCAAATATTTAGATAGACAAAACAAACAAAGAGATTACCAAAAGGGCACTACAGATCGTCTTCGTTGTTAATGAATGTATAGCGACGTACGATATACCATATGATAGTATGAATGATAATAGACATATGTGCTTTACACATAAAGCATAAGGTAAATTTGCTTTATTGACCTGTTAACCAATATCCAATTGACAGAGTGGACAGCTCCACATACCTTGGTACCAACATTAACAGCCAATGGGATCACTCCAGTGAAATAAAACAACGCATATCTTAAGAATTTCATGGGTGGATCGTGTGACTAATGTTGAGGTCCTACGTAGAATAGGCAAGGAATGCGAGATTATTAACACCATCAAAGAGCGCAAACTAGAATATCTTGGGCATGTTATGAGGAATGAACAGAGATACGGCTTGTTGCAACTCATTCTTCAGGGCAAGGTATTTGGAAAGAAAGGACCAGGGAGAAGAAGAATATCTTGGCTTTAAAACCTGAGAAAGTGGTTTATTACATCGACAACCAGACTATTCAGAATAGCAGCAAGCAAAGTTAAGATAGCCATGTTGATCGCCAACATCCGGAACGGATAGGCACCGTAAGAAGAAGACCTGAAAAAGGCTGTGATTGATTACAAAATAAACAACTAGCCTAATATTAGCATGTGACAAATCAAATCAAATGACGTGAGACGTATAGTGCATATAATGAATATATGCGTGCCATCAGTAACATATACAGGGTATAGTAAAAAAACAGGATGTTAGGTCAGCAGTGCACCAGATCATCCTTTATATTTACTTGGATTATATGCAAAAAGTATATTATTTTAAAAATTTATTTACTGACTGTAGATGACAAATGATTGAATCGGATAGTCACTAGTAAAAATAATAAATAAATAATAAAATTACTTTATTTGGTTTTAAACATATTTGAATTTAAAAAATTAAGGAAACATAGTATGAAACTTCGCCCTAGTCCACAGTACCGCCTACTGTACCACTTTTTTTTAATTATCTCGGTCAATTGTTTATGTATTTTATTTTGGAACTCAAAATAAATTACTTTTTGTAGTCCATATCTTTTATTTGCAACATTTTTCTCTAGAATGTGTAAGAAAGGTAGGCCAAAAATTATGCTTTCACTTTTTAAGAATGTTTAAAAACAGCTGTATGTCTTCATGAATATTTTAATCAGTATATACTTCATATACATTTTAGATCTGTATAAGATTTTTTCAGCTTTTTTTCTTACTTGACTGGGATACATACTCAAAAGAGTAGAAAAGCTATGAATGACGAAAAAAATATGCTTGAAAATTTAAATAGAATGACGGTTTTAGCTCGAGAACCTGATAAACTGATTTGGTTCTAACTTTCAAAAGATTTGATGGTTTCTAAGATTTTCAAAAGGTTTATAAAAATACAGTTGAACCTTTCAAAAAATATGTTTTTACATTCATTTATTATTGATATTTTCGTATGAGTTTTGACGAACTGTACTTACCATATCAAAAACTGTCCGCCAGCACCTTTGTTACAGCAATTATCACTGTATCCATCTGGTCTTTTACCGCATATACCACATATCAAACCCAATACTATACAAATTGCTATCAAAAGCAAACCGCAACTGATGGAAAGGCCAGCGTAGTATCGATACGGTGAATAGTAGGCTAGGTATGTGTACCCATCTTCCAAGGTACCATTCACACTGTTTATCTGGTTTTGTAGATCCGATATCGTGTTGAGGACTTTATTTAGATTGGCTTGGACAGTTCTACCTAAAAATTAACTTAAATTGGTTCTCACATTTTTTAATAATAAAACAATTATATTGGACAGCCTATAGATGTAGTAATCATATGAATCAAAGTAGAAATTGATAGCATTTAATAGCAGAAAAAAAAATTCTAAATCCAAAATATACGACTTTGAGTCGACAAAGATCGAAACTTGTATCACAAAGTTCCCAGTAGAAAGATGTTGCTGTGCAGGATGTTTGATTGAAATAGGTCGATTTCAGCTAACTTACCTTAGTACGAAAGTTGATAATAACCGAAATACAAGGTGTCAAAAATTAAACTTTTATTTTATTTATTTTTGAGTACTTCCTGACAGGCTTGGTATAACAACACGAAATTTGATGGGATTTTTGGGACGAGAAACCTAAATTCCTCTCTAAAAATTATGAATTACCCTGAGGGGCGCCACATACGTGTTTCAGCGGTCATTTAATACATTAAATTTTTTTTATTTCCCTTCTTAAAACTTCTCTTCTCCATTACTGACGGTTGGCTATAACTAAAGCATATCTTGAGCTACTCTTACTATCGAATGTGTGTCCATGCTTGTCCAGTCTCTTACATTCTTCAACCAGGAGCATTTTCTTCTTCCTGGACCTCTTCTTCCTTCCACTTTCTCTTCCATTATAAGTCGTAGGAAGTTGTATTTTTCTCCTCCAGTTAGTTTGATACTCATGTATCCTATTTCTAACGAACATAATTTTTTTTCTACTCTTTGGATCTTTAAGTCTATTACTTTCACTATTACAGACACTATTAATTTTAATGTGAGTTTCAGTTTGAAAATTTTTTAAAACATCAATAAAATGGAAAATATTTGGATGAGCATGGTAAAAATTATCATTAAAACGCGAGTGGAACGATTCACAAGCATTAGTTGTTAATTGTAAACTCTTGTAATTTTATAAAATGAAAAGGATATAGATTTTTGTTATGTAAGATATTTTCTACGGAAGATTTTGAAATTGTGGTGTGATGTCCTCTCGTAGGAGTCACTATCCGGGTAGCTTTTAGACAGTCAGAGACAGAGTTCAAAACAAAAATAAAACTTTATTGTCTTCCTTAAATTAAATTGACAAAAATCTTATGTACATATTTACAATTTGGTTTAGTCTTCTCAGTACCTCGCCTATTTATTCAAATTAAGTTTGACCTTGTCATATGAAATTAGTCTTATAGGCAAGCGAGTGTGTATTTGAAATTTTACGGGAACGTTGTATCGATTTAATAACAGCGGACAATAGGTACAAAGAAAGGAAAGGAACTCAACACGTCCCTTAAGCGATTCGGGTTAACAGGACACTCCTCGACAGTCTCAACACGACTGCTTCAGATTACGGGTAGTGAAGAACTCAACACGCTCTTCGGGTAACGACGGTATGGGACGGAACAACTTGTGAACTCAACACGTCCACAAGCCGGGGTAGGGAAGAAGAGAACCTTCAGTCAACACCTGTCGATTCTGTCTCTATGAGGAAATGTTGCGGTTTATATAGCGGAGCTTGGTAATTAGTTTTGCCCTTTCTACTGTCGATACACTCCTACTTCATGGGTTGGTTCGCGCGCACGCTGGTTTAACGGTGATGGCTTGGACTCATCGTTACAGTGGGATACATGGCAGATAGTCTTCAAACGCTCATTTCTGGATTTTCCTCAACTTCCATTAAAATAACATCTTCGAGTGCTGCTGTTACAGCATCATGGCGCCCTCTTTTATTATTTTTGGGACCACTGAAAATGTTTCTCTTAATATTTGATAAAAAGCTGTAAATGTTAAGTGAGTGCGATAATGATTGGGAAATTTTTCAGGGTATCTACATTGTGTTGCTCGAGCGTTTCACCTCATTTCCCCATAAACTAAAGCATATCAGCGCATTCCTCTTTCCTAAAAACCATTTTTGTTTAAATGAAATTGATATGTTTGAATGCCACAAAGTAAAAAACTAGAAGAAAAACTTCGCGAACTTACCACAATTTGAAAATGAAAAACGTAAGTTATAATTCTGTTGACAAGTCCACGTGTAAAAAATATTAATTTAACTTCATGACGAAAAAACGAAACGTTTTCAAACCTATTTTTCTAGAAAATGGTGACGCCATCTTCAAAGAGGGACTAGATGAATTGGGTTATATTGACTTAAAATTATCTGAGGAATCTCCGGAAGAGTTTCTGGGCACCCTGTGTGGGTTTCAAAAATAATTGTATTTTGTTGTCCTAAGAATCAAAGTCAAATATGATTAGGCGTATAAAACCATAGGTTTCGCAGTCAATATCCCAACCACACACATATTTAAAATATGTGATTGCGTAATTCTTAATAATCAGTGGAAAAGTAAGGAATACTGTGCAGCGACAATAGTTACTTTCTTCTTCTTCTGGTTCCTATCCGTTTCCGATGTTGGAAATCATATTGGCAATTATAACCTTGCTCGCTGCGGCTCGAAACAGCTCCGTTGAGGTTTTCTTAAACTATGTTCTTAAATTCCGCAGCCATGATATTCTCCTTCTACCGGGTCCTCGCTTACCTTTGACTTTACCTTGCAATATAGACTGTAGCAGGGAGTAACGGTGCTGATTTCTCATAACCTGATATTGCAATTTTATGCGTTTGATCGTAAACACAATTTCTGGTTCATTCTTCATTTTTCCTAGAACTTCCTTGTTCGTGATCCTTTCTGTCCATGATATTCTCAGCATTCTTCTATAAAGCCACATCTCAAATGCTTCAAGTTTTTCAATAGTGGTGTCTGTAAGCGTCCATGCCTCCGCCCCGTACAACAACGCAGAGAAAACATAGCATCTCAAATGTCTCATTTTTGTATCAAGGGATATGTTGTGACTTTTGAAGATGGCGCTCATTTTGTTAAAGACCGTTCTTGCCTTTCCCATGCGGCACTTTATTTCCTGTAAATTGCTCCACTGTTCGTTAATAATAGTTCCCAGGTAACAATACTGTTTTACTCGCTCTATCTGCGTCCCATTAATGTATAGATGAGCCCCGTTTATATTCTCCTTGCTGATAATCATTTGTTTCGTTTTGTGGGTATTAATGTTTAGTCCGTACTGTTGACTGTACTCGTTTATTCTGTCCATTAGCCTTTGAAGTCCCTCTAAACTATCTGCTATCACCATGGTGTCGTCGGCATGTCTAACATTGTTTACTCTTTCACCATTTAGAAGGATGCCTTCGTCTATTCCGTAAAGAGCCTCGTTAAAAATTTTCTCTGAGTACATATTAAATATCAACGGCGATAGGATACATCCCTGTCTAACTCCACGTAGTAGTTCTGAGGTCTTTGTCATCCAGGTCTGCCTCTTTTAAAATGTTTATCATCTTTTGATGTTGAACTCTGTCAAATGCCTTTTCATAGTCGATCAAGCACGCGTATACGTCGCAGTTACTTATAGTTACTTTACTCAAGCGTAAATAACTTATGGGCATAAAGAGTGGACAACAAAAAACTATGCGAAAATCGAAAATCTGAGAGTTCAAAATTGTCATGTTGATAGATAACACATCCCAATACCTTTCAAAAAAATATAACTTACCTGCTTCTTCGACCTTTTTTAGCGCCTGTTTAAGCGTTTGGTTCAAACTGCTGGTAATATGCCGTTCTATATTGTCCAGTTTACTTTTTCCCTCTTCTGCGGCAGTTTTCAACAAGTTCAAATTCAATTTTCCGAGTATATCGATAGCAGGTGCCACATCGGGAAGCTAAAATAAATAAAATAAAAAAAACATAGTTTAATAGAATTTACTTTGTTCTAATTGGTATTGCATAAAATATTCCCTGTTGGTGAATTCCTAACTGCTATTCGAGGTTTTATATCCATATAGTTCCAGTAAAAGACTAGTAACTTATTGTCATTAAGTCCATTTTAAAGTATAAAGTATATAATATATAAATATACACTTCATCTAATTTATATACCGATGCACGTCATCGGCGACATAGCCTGTGACGTCACATGATACCAACACAAAATATTTAGGGTGTAGTTGTGTTCTTTTTTAGAATCACTTTACCGAGTACACTGGCATTACAGCCACTAGAAATATTTTATTATATACGCGTAGAAATAATATTTAAAAATTTCTATTAATGTTAACTTAAAGAAATACACAATAATATGTTTCATTTAATTTGTATAAATGCATTATAAAGCGTTTTTATGAAGAACATTTGTTCGGAACACACTGTAACTGTATTTGAACGAAGGTAAAATTTTGGCATAAATTGGTAACACTTATTTGACAGTTCCGGTGTTGACACTTGTTGTACTTCATTATTTTGAATTTTAAAGTGAATATCTCTTGTTTTATATTTTTAACTATTTAATAAAATCTGTTCTTTTTAGAACAAAATTAGTGTGTTTTTTTTAAAAATGTCACGTAAGAATTTAAATATTTAAATTTTTAAAGAGATGGTAATACTTTTGCAATAATTATGTGATCTATTTGATTTAAAATGGAGTCAGGATTTTTTTATACTTTGGCAACTATGTCAACTTCGATCTCTGACGTAGATAATGACGTGCAATGGTATGTAAATTAGATGAAGTATAAGTAATATACACCGTTTAATTATATCGGCTGTTCTTACAAGATACATAGAAGATCCCCCTTTGTACTGTAAACTCAGCCGATAAGACTAAATATATTGTTTTGTTCATACCTTCCAGCTTAAATTTGTTATGTTTTTCAATACTTCAAGAAAAACTTATAAGTAAGACATATGTAAAGAAGTTCTGAAACTGTTTTTGGGGCATGTTTAAGTTCAATATTGTATTTACGTGTGATCACACAATTGATAATAATAAAAAAATACATTTTAAGTCTGTTTTTGTCGTCTCGATTTCCACTCCGGAAATCGTTTTCGAACGGAAAGATTATTTTAAAAATAAAATTTATTTTAACCTATAGATGTTTACTAATTGTCACTGTCAAATTTTACCAATTTGACACGTGACTTACTTGGTCTCGATCTTGTAGGCAAATAGCCATGTTTTAAGTTGAAAATTCTGAATGGTGTTATACACTCGGGTTGATATCCAATTCTGGTTTTTATGTGTTTTTTGTTTTATGTATTATTATAGTTGATTTTGATATGTTCTTGTTACTGATGTCTTCTTTTATTATAGGTAAGCAGAGCCTGCTACATTCTGTTAATGGTTTTTGGTGTGTCAGGATAACGAGTAAAAATCACACATCAAAAACAGATATTTCGAAAGATTCCAGATATGCAAACATGTCTGGGATAACCAGCACAAAGTACAATAGAAAGATGCAACAATAGTCATTAAAGATAGAGACAGCAAAAAGAGGTAAGAGATCTTACTTTTTGAAGTTCAATCAGTATATTGAAGTATACACCGACAAAAGTTCGATCGAACTTTTATCGACCGTAGAAATTCGTGTGTGCGCCTAACCTTAGTAGCAGAGAAATATCGACCGTCGACAAAAACGGCGGTGAACCATAAATGAATGATTAGCTGCTCACCAGGGAGATATCGAAATACTTTTTTATTTCTGGGGTTACAATTTAACCAGAGTAATTAAGAATAATAATATATATGCGCAGATAACGATAAAATAAGTGTTGCAAGTCATTTCCTGTTAGTACTCTTAGAGGATCGACTAGAAATGAAAAGTAAAGTATCCTTGTTAGCAGATTGACATATACTGAAAAAAAAAAGAAGACAATAAGATCTGACAGATAAAAAGGAGAATACTTGACGATGGCCAAAGGACACATGAAAACTTATATGATTCGGTCGGCCAGTTTGGGAATATTTTGATTGTTGTGACATCAAGGGTAGTTAGCTAAATATATCAGAGTCCCTATGCTTACAATAATCCACATTACATTCTATATTTTTGCACAACTCATTTGATATTTTCTTATCAGAATATACAGCAAAATAAATCATTCAAGAACCTTTACTCAGAGGTACGCCTTTTAGCTGGCACGTAAGTAAACCATTAGTCCAAATCTTTGAATATGTTTCATACAAAGTCTCACAATAGATAGTTCGCTTTTGGTCTGGATATTCTTGAATTTTTCCAAATAGCGTTATCGTCCCTCCATCATTTACTCATTTTCCATTCTGGTCTCTCGTTTGTGAACGATTTCTAAGTTGTTTTAACCATCAGCGTAAATAAAAAAATAACTTGCCCGAAGTGTCTTAACCCTAAGCTTGGTATGTACGATATCAATTGTTGGTATGGCATTTATTTTATATTCTTAAACCCCTCCTTAAAACTTTATCAAACTATTAAGATGTTTAGGTAACCCAGTACCTGATCTTTTGTCTCTCTTCTTATTGCCACTCTGCACTTACTTCAGATTCCTGTAAACGTTCATACAAAGCTTTGATTCGTCATGCAAAATAATTCTTTTGGTTGTTTTTCTAAATTTGCTTGGACGTTACTACTATAACTAAAATAATTCTTGGATATTGTATATTTTGTACCATTATGACTTTTTCCACTCGTACTTAGGTACTCGTATATAACGATTTGTAGTTAACCTAATTATGCAAAAGTATTACATTTTACTTATTATTTTCCTTGTGAATTTTTCTTTTATCATCTAGTAATTAAATGCAGAATTAAAATGCTGTCAGTTTTTCCTTAAAGTAAATTAAGCTTTTGATTAAGATATCTATATCTTGATTTGTATACAGATTGAACGAAATAAATTCGGAACATACGAAATATTATGCATTTCGGCTCAATTCTGCTGTAGGTGGTTGACCAACAAAAGGTTGTCAAATAATTATATTATAAAAATCCAATACTTCAGCGGGCTGCTGGATTCTGAAATCATAAAAATTGAAAGCTACACATAAATCTACGATTTTATTATGCTGTCAACCCACTTATAGTCCAGGAAATGAAGCATTTCACCTCGCAATTTTTTCGTCCTGCGTGAATTGACGTGAAATTTTAACGGAAGATAGGTAATAGCCTAAGGATCAAAATCTTTATCGAACCAAAGTGCGCCAAAGCCTTGGGGTGGTTGCCACCCCATCTCGGGGGGTGAAATTTTTTTTTACGTTTTAACTACAAGTTTCGATTAAAAAAGTGATTCTAAACAAAAAATATTTTATACATTTTTTTTTTGTAAAACTCTTATTTTTTTTTTATGTTTTTCGCGATTCAAAGTAACAACTTTTAGACGAAAAAATCGAAGTTTTTAATCGATTTTTTGCGAATAACTCGAAAAAGGTGCATTTTATCAAAAAAAATTGTAGAGAACAAATTTGTAGCTTTTAAAAAGACAAATACAATTCATTTTAAAATGTTTTTGCGATATAGTAGGAACCGAAATACCGCCTATCAATGTTCAGCGGTTTTCTTCAAATGCCAAATTTGAAAGATTCAAAGTCAAATATCGGGAAAATGATGCATTTTTGGAAGAAAACTCACAAAACCTTTAAAGAGCATAAATAGACCTATCATAAAAAAAGACTCTAGCTCAAAAATTTAGTAAGTTATGATGAAAATAAGGTCAAAACCTCCTTTTTTACGAAAAAAATCGATGAAAACAACCCCCTAACCACCCCATAATTAAAATCGATCTTCACCCTTCTGCAATTCTCTTTGTACATGTATTGTTAATACGTCCAAGAAGTTTGACCCATTTAAAATACTTAGTTTTAGAAAAAGTACAGCTTAAAGCGAGAAACGATTTACAATTTCATATTTTTTACCCTTCTTTTTTTAAATATCCCCGAAAATACTGAATATAATATGAAAAAAATAAAAATGTACTACATTGTAGCTTTTTTAATGACTAAAATTTTCCTTTATTTAGATTTGTTGTACAATGAATATTTGGCGAGATATAGCCGTTTAAAGCATCGATTTACGATCAAGCACCATCTTTTTTGAGCCCTTTAAACTCACCCCATTTAAAAACCAAGAGATTCAAAAAGATTTAATTCACAGATCCTTGTAGCTCTTAAAAAGCTCTACAAAATCGTTTTTGAGGAAACACTCTATCGTTAAAAATGAAGGAAATACGTTAAAAAACCAATTAATTTTGTTTCCGGAAAATTCCATTAGTATAGTACAGTACATTTCAGAGCATAATAATCTACAAAACCGGTATATTAGGTAGTGGAGCGTTATACATTCGAAATTTTAAGCGTTCTCATTTTGAAATCCCATACAACAGAATAAAACATCTGCTCATATGTCTATGGCTTAGCAATGAAAATATCAGAGCAACAGATTGGGGATGGTATTCCAAAGATGGTTTGTTATTACCCGTACGCATGAACAAACAACCTGCACCCGATGAACTTTTGAAAATTATTTTTTGCCAATGCAAAAAAGGATGCGGCGTTTCATGTGGGTGCAGAAAAGTTGGTTTATACTGTAACTCTACTTGTTCTGGGTGCTCAGGTGAGGGGTGCAATAATAGTCCACCAATAATTGAAGAAGATGAGGATGACATAGATCACGATGAAGATATAATTGATGACGAATAAAATTAATATTATAATTGTTTTACCTATAAATGTAAATATTTTCAACTATTTATGTAAATGTATAGGAATATATGGTGCCTTTTTACGTTGATAAATTTTTTTGTATTTAATTCTACTTTTTTCAATTTATATCATGTAAATAATGTCATTTATATAATGTAAAGGGTGATTTTCAAAAGTTGAAAAGTTGCAAAATTTTGGCAAAAAATTGTTTTCACCTATATTACTCATGACAATTGATTTTTAAGGGTTGAAAATGTATGAAATTGTATTTTAAAGTATAAAAAAATCACTATTTAACTAATCCAAACCAAATTTCACTCATCTCAAGATTTGTTATGTTATTTTACAATTTTTGAAAATTAGGGGTAGTTTTCACCCCTAAGAACAATCAGGGTTCGTAGACATGACATAAACTATAAAGCAGAGGGTGAGTTGAGCTTAAATCCAAATTTTTATCCAAATCGATACAAGGCGAAATTATTTTTTTAGAATTAGTAATTTTTTACATTAATCTCTAACAAGGGTTGCTTTTTAAGGGTTGAAATATGATGGAACTCTATTCAAAAGTATGAAATAATCACTATTTAACTAATTCCAACCAAATCTTAGCCATATTCAGGTTTAATATGTTATTTTATAATTTTTGACAATTAGGGGTAGTTTTCACCCCTAAAACCCTTCAGCGCACTGCAGTTCGATATAGATTTTGATCCTTTGGCTATCACCTACCTTCTGTTAAAATTTCAACTCAATCCATGCAGGACGAAAAAATTGCGTGGTTTTAACTTTTTTCGAGCTTCATTTCCTGAACTATTATCGCTTCCTTAGACAAGCACTAAAGGAAATAACTACAGAACATTAAGTTTATTTTTGTTATTAGTCTGTTGTAGTAGATTGATAAATACAATGAAAAATATAGGCAAATATCCGATTTATTTAAAGATACGAAGAAGATATAACTCTCAAAAAGATCCGCAAATCGGATTATTACACGGCGATTGACAACATTGTTACGCAAACAACATTGGTGCGAGACAGATAGTTGAACGATATTTTATACAATGTCTATACCCAGGTATGGATTTATTTTTGTCCAAGTTTTATATTGGTCCACTATTTCAAATGCAGTTCAAACAGACATATATTAAATTGTATGATCCGTTTTAAGTTCGTTCAATCTGTATATGCATACTTACTCTTGGAAAATATCTGTCCAAATGCTGCATGTAACAGGAACATGAATTACAAATAAAACAATAATGTTATTAAAGACATTGTAAAGAAAAGATAGAACAAAAGAATGGTCTTATATATGGTTCGCCTCTACTGTTATCTTATTTTGCACCTTAACTTTTTTCCTCTTTCTACTGCGCGGCGGTAAATCAAAGATACAAATTGGTTGAATTTTAACAAACTTCTTAAAATAGAATTAACGCATAAAGAACATATTTTATTTATTTTATAAAACTTTTATCCCTTGTAGAAGCCTTGTATAGCCTTGTAGAAGACCTTTTGTCGTCTTAAATGGATTGTAGGCTTTATTTCCACATTTAATAGCTACTTTATTTTCTTTGTATAGTGCTTTAACTGCTTTTATTAGTGTTTGTCGGATTCCGAGATCATTCATTGCTTCCTATAATTTGACTCTAGGTATTGAGTCGTATGCTTTCTTTAGATCAACAAACGAAGGATGGACCGGTCTACCTTTTGCTATTTTCTTCTCTATCAGTTGTTCTAATGTGTACGTGTGATCTAGGCATGATTTTCCTACTGTGAACCCTGCTTGGTCTTCTAAAATTTTTCCTATTATTTCAGTTTCTAGTTTTTCCTTGATAATTTTCCCGTAAAGTCTACCTACCGACGATATTATTACTTACTTATACTTACCCTATTGAAGTCTATATTGGTCTGCAAATTTGAAATCTGCTTTTGGATCTGTACACAATCTTCCAAACTACAGTTATTCAGCAATGTCAGCAGGTCTCGTTTCACTTTTCTCATAGCTAAAAAACAAAGATAATGAAACAAACATTATGTGCAACATTTACCAATATATAATTATTAGGTTTTATGAATTAAGGAAAGCCATAATATGTAAAGCATTGATGGATTCGACCGTTAATTGATGGAAATTCATTTTATGTAACAATAAAACACTGAAAACTTTGTTTTCATCATTTTCACAAAATTTATTATAAACTCTTAGCACTAGACCTGTTAAGGCTAATTGCCTTTCTCAAGTGATCTATTTTTGGCATGCGTTTACACTTTATAGTCTGTAATGAAATAGGTTGAGGAGGGGGATAACTGTTTGTCTCAAGTTGGTCATTCAAAATTGTAACTGAATAGTTTTTTAATTTGTTGATTTCCATAGATTCTAACAAAGATAGCTTAAGGCCTTTACTTTAAATGTGAAGAATTTTAAATTCGTCATTAAAAGAATGATTATGATCTAGAAGGTGCGTGCAGTGCGTATGTAGAATCTGTTTTTCCATTCATAAATCTTCTTCTTTTTGGTTACTAAACAAAAAAAATTTTCAAACAAAATTTTCTTTTTGGCAATATAATTGTAAAAAATAAAAATTTTAAGTTGTCATTTATGACATTAAGGCTTAATTATAATTGGTCGCTATTCTAACTTATTTATAAATTCAATTGTTTTGTGTCAAGAAACTTTTTCAAAATTATTTTAAAATTTTAAAGTAAGAACATTTTTATAGTAATATTTTTTTAAATATGTTATATATATATATATATATATATATATATATATATATATATATATATATATATATATATATATATATATATATATATATATATGTGTATATATGCTTTATTGGCTGAAAAAGCATTTGACCAAATGAAAATATTCTACTTTTATTTACATTCAAGCTTGATCGTATAAATACATTAAAGTGGAAGATGTTTAAGAAACATTTTAAATGATCAAATAAAGAAAATTGCTGCACTTACCATCATTTAGCTGTGATGCCATAGCTCTAAGGTTATTTGTATAACCTTTCAAGTGCCCCAATTGTACTGTAATGTTCGGTATAGCTTCCACGAAATTATATAAGTCCATCATGGCAGTTGCGTTACTCCATATGTTTAGTTGCTGCATCACGTGGACTCCAGATTCTAAAATATAGGTATGAATCTTTGAGTCAAATTAACATAAATTAAACAATAATCTGAACAAATACTATGTTACAATGTTCAAAATTGGAATCACTGCAGTACAGGAAACTAGATGGCTGGGAAAAGGTATCCGAGACACTAAAACTCATACTATTCTGTATAGCGGTAAAGATGAAGGAAATAAAGAACTCGGAGTAGCCTTTATCGTAGATAATACAATGAAGCACCTGATAACAGACTTTTAAGCCATCAATGAAAGAATCTGCAAGCTTAGGATAAAAACTCATTTCTTTAACGTAACCTTTATAAATGTACACTGCCCTAAAAATGAACAGGAAGAAGACACTAAGGTAGCTTTTTATCAAGATCTAGAACGAATCTATGACTCAATACCAGGAAACGACATTAAAATGGAGATAGGTGACACAAACGCCAAAATCGGAAAAGAAGAAGAGTACATAGGGGTAATAGGGAAACATAGTCTGCATAGAGAGACAAATGAGAATGGTCAGTTTCTAATAGACTTCGCAGCTGGAAAGAATATGGTTATCAGTTCGACCTGCTTCCCACATCGGGACATACATAAGGGCACTTGGATATCACCTGACGGAAACACAGTCAATCAAATAGACCACGTACTGGTTGAAAGAAGAATGGCCACAAGTATATTAGATGTAAAAAGTAGGCGTGGAGTAAGCTGTGACTCCGACCATCTACTAGTACAGATACGGTTCAGATGTAAAATCAGTCGACAAGCAAAGGAAAAATATCCGAAACAAGAAAAACTAAACTTAGATAACCTAAAAGTCTCTGAGGTACAAGAAAGATTTGAGAGAACAGTGAGTGAAAAATTACTAGAAGAAAACATAGAAGAATACACAATAGAAAATCATTGGAACACCATAAGCACTATCATACTAAACACGGCACAAGAAGTTCTTGGAACAAACACTCAACGGAGAGAAGAACAGTGGTTCGATGAAGAATGCAAACAAGCTATTCACGAAAGAAATGAAGCACATAAGAATTTCATACTCAAACGAACTAGAGAGAGAAGGACAGAATTTGAGAATAAAAGACGAAGAGCTAATAAACTATGCAGACAGAAAAAGAGACGGTACGAAAACAACCGGATACTAAACATAGAGAGGGCGTTCAAGGAAAACGAAACACGCAGTGCATACCAACTTATCAAACATTTAAGACAGGGTTACAAACCGAAGACTAGCCTATGCAAAAATAAGAATGGGGAAATAATTAGCGATATGGACGAAATTAAGAGAACCTGGATGATGTATTTTAAGGAATTATTAAACGAAAGGGCACAAACACCACTACAACAGCGGCAGCAGCAGGTAGAACAGGAAGGTCAACAACAGGAGCTGTGGGAAGATGGAGAAGATAATGAATTGGCTAGACCTCCAACGCTAGAGGAGGTTCGAACAGCAATCCAAATGCAAAAAAGCCATAAAGCGCCGGGAATAGACAAGATAACGGCAGAACTGTTCAAGCAGGGAGGAACAAATTTGACAGAACAGATGTACCAGCTTATACAAGAAATATGGAGAGAATAAAAACTCCCACAACAATGGAAGAAAAGTATAATCTGCCCTATTCATAAAAAAGGAGACAAACTGTTATGCCAGAATTATAGAGGCATCTCTTTACTTTGTTCGGGATACAAAATACTCACAAACATTCTTAATCGAAGACTTCAACCCCTCACTGAAAAAATTATCGGGGAATATCAAGCAGGGTTCAGGCGAAATAGATCTACTATTAACCAACTATTTACAGTTAAACAAATACTAGCCAAAGCATGGAATATGACATAGACGTCTACAATCTCTTTGTAGATTTCAAGCAAGCCTATGATTCAATAGATAGAACAATACTACCTAATATATTACAAGAATTTGGCATACCATCAAAATTAATAAGACTAGTGCAAATGACAATGACAGAAACAGAAGCACATGTACGTATTCAAGGACAGATCACTGATGCGTTTATGACAACGCAAGGACTGAAACAAGGTGACGGACTAGCTCCAACACTTTTTAATCTTGTTCTTGAATATGTAATTAGACGGTTGACGGTGAGCAGAAATAACATACTTACAAACAAATCTACCCAATTAGCAGCATACGCAGATGACATAAACATAATGAGCAGAACAAAGACTGCGGCAGAAGAAACCTACGTTCAGTTGAAACAGAGTTCAGAAGTTGTAGGGCTAACAATAAATACAAATAAAACAAAACTACTCATACAAACCAGATCAAATAGACAGGCGCAACAACAACAATTTATAGACGATATAGAATACGTGAATAGATTCACGTATTTAGGAATGGATCTGGTCGAAAATAATGAAGAAGAACCGGAAATAAATAGAAGGATTATGCTGGCAAATAAAGCCTATTTCGCGATGGGCCACATATTCAAATCGCGAGACGTACACCGGAAAACAAAACTCCGGGTATATAAAACAATAATCCGACCCATAGTAAGTTATGGGTGTGAAACATGGGTTATAACACAGAAATCTACCAATGCATTAGACGTGTTCGAAAGAAAAATATTGCGTAGAATACTGGGTCCAATAAAGGAAAATAACAACTGGCGAATTAGATATAATAACGAAATATACGAACAATACACTGAACCAACACTAGCACAATACACTAGACTGCAGAGATTACGATGGGCAGGGCATGTGGCCCGCATGCATGAGAACAGAATCCCCAGAAAATTACTAAACGCAAGAATGCAAGGAAAAAGACCTGTTGGAAGACCAAAAAAGAGATGGGAAGACGAGGTAGATGAGGATGCCAAAATCTCCTAAAAACGCGTTCATGGAAAAGAGCAGCAGTAAATAGAGATGTTTGGAGAGGTTTAATGAAGGAGGCCAAGGCCCGGCTTGGGCTGTAGTGCCATTGGATGGATGGAATGTTCAAACATATCTTCTTAACCTAGAGCAAAACAAAGCCATTGTGGAGTTTCTCGGTGATAGCTGAGATAGGAAATACGAACTAATGATCTACCCTTAATGATTCTAACGTCTTGATACATATTGTTAAGAATAAAAATTAGAAATACCGCAGTATGTACTTACTTTCCACGGTGTCTTTGAACACATTCGCAAACTGCTTGTAGTTATTATTGAGCAGATTTGTTGCGTGATCCTTGGTACCTTCGAGATAAGAATAAGAATCTTTGTATGCGTTCTTTAGGTTCCCTGGAAGCTCGTCAACCCCTTCCTGAATCTGTTGATTACTTGCGAATGCACATACAACACAAAACCTAAAAAGATATATTTTATTGTATTTTCCTAGTTATTATATGCGAACAAGATGTGTAAAATAAAAACTTGCGAAGATCACAACAGTTGTGGCAAAAAATCCACATACATGTATCAAGGGCACAGATTCTTTAGGTGATAAGATAACAAACTATAATCCACTTATTAAAGCAACATAAATCTTGTTAACAATCTTAGCTCTACTTTTATATAAAAAACTAACTTGAAAAAATAAAGAACAGTTAACAAAGCAATGATAATCAAAAGAAGTTATTTTAACTTAAGGAGATATCTACTTAATAAAAATATTAATTTACCAAATAAAGTAGTAGGTACATAATATATGTGATTGGTAATAAATATATTTTTTACATGTCCACTTTTTCCAGCGGTTATTAAAAAGCTTGTGATATCTCCACCGAATTTTGGTTTTTCAGGAAGAAATATTAGTAATTCCTTTTTGTAAAAAGGTATTAGATGCTTCCTTAAACCTGGTGTGTTTCTGTTTTTCATTTTCAGTTCAACCTTTCTATGTAGGCACAATTTACACAAAGTAATTTGGAATGCATGAATTATTTCGAAACACTCATCCAATTTGCTCTTAGGTCTTTTAGATCTATAACTTCAACGCTCACTACTCCGACTAGAACTATTTGAATCTTTGTCCCTCATGTCAAATTGTAAACTTGTCACTCCGGGAACAAGGATTAGATGAAAAAAAAATATTACATTAGACTCACAGGAAAGCTTAATTGGGAATGAAGTTTAGTGATGTCGAAAAAGTAATTTTACTTTTGAATATTAACCGCGCTCTTTCAAGCAAATTTTGTTTAACCGAATGATCTCATCGGACAACGTGGCGCGGAGTTGAAGATTTTTGTTTTATTTTCTGTCTGCGATAAACCCGAAATTCGAGAGTTGCAACGGGAAATAATTCAATACGTTGTAGTGAGAATTGAGATAACTGAATAAGGTAACAACTGTGCAAAAATAAACACCGAAAACTGCAAAAAAAAAACAATAACAAAGTGAATAATCGGATAAGGGAAAAAAGCGAGGTTAACTGATAAGAACTAACACTGGGAAGGAAGCTACGTTTAAGTGAATTGCGACGTTGCCAATGTGTGCAAAGTTTCGTGTTTGCCACAGAATACAAAATTAGTCCAGACTTCGAATAGGGGATTCAACAGGAAGTGGTAGATACTGTTTCTTCCGAGCTGTTGAAGCGAGCGATAGTGTCTGGCGCCAATCAGAGTTGAAAGTAATCCGCGAAGTGACCAAAAAAAAAACAGATGAAGAAGCAAAAAGAAAGAATAGAGGAGAGGATGATGAGCAAGAGGAAGAGAGATCCAGAAAAAATAAAAAACTAACAAGAACCCCTCAGAAGACAGGAGGAAAAGAGGATGGAGCAAAACTTGATAAATTGCTAGAAATGATGAGCAACCTAACCAGCGACATTAGACAAATAAAAGAAGACCAAAAAGAATACAAGGAGGTAGTTGAACATCTAATAAGGGAAAACAAGGAACTAAAGAATGATAATAAAATTCTAAAAGAGGAAAACATACAGATTAAGAAAGAATTAAGGGAAATACGAGACAACATAGAAATTATAGAAAAACAGAGAAGGCGAAATAATGTGGTAATGAACGGGCTAGCAATTGATACGCATGATCAGCTGGTATTGAAGGAAGCAATTGGCAATTTTATAAAAGATCACCTTGCAGTAGAGGCCAAAATAAAGACGGCCCACAAACTAGGTCCAAAAACGTGCCTAATTGAAATGGAGAACCAACAAGAAAAGATAAAAGTTATGAAGAATAAAGCAAAGTTAAAGGACGTCAAAAAGGAAAAGGTATACATCAACGATGACACAACGGTGAGAGAGAGAGAAATTCAAAAAATAATAAGAAAAATTGCACAAGAGGAAAGAAACAAAGGAAACGAAGTCAAAATAGGAGCAAGGAAAATGATGATAAATGGTGTTGAATGGAAGTGGAATAGCAAGGAAGATAAAATGGAAATAACAAACTCAAAAAACTAGAAAACGGCTATGATAGTAAAAATACGAAGACGAACAACGCAAGGAACAAGAACATGAATACCGGTAACATTGTCATAGGAAAGGGTGATTTAAAGATAAAAAATACAAAAAAAGGCAATAGAAACACATATCCAAAAGATCACTTAATGGTAGGAACGTGGAACGTAAGGGGTACTTTTGAGGAAGGAAAACTGAAACACTTAACTAAAGAAATTGAAAAGTTTAAATTTGACGTAGTGGCACTACAAGAAACAAAGCAACTGGGTCAGGAAATGCTGGAAATTGAAAATAGCTTATTTTTTAATAGTGGAGGCAGAAACAGAATATTAGGCACAGGATTTTTGGTAAATAAAGCGTTAAAAGCATCAATTGTAGAGTTTAAACCAATATCTGATCGTCTATGTTGTCTAAGAATAAGAGGAAAATATCAAAAAATCACATTCATTAACATTCACTCACCGTCAGAAGAAAAAGATATTGAAGTAAAAGAGGATTTCTACTGTGAAGTTAATAGGGTATTTGAAAGTATTCCAAGATATGACATTAAAGTAGTACTGGGGGACGCAAATGCAAAGATAGGAAAAGAAGAAATATATAGAACAACTATAGGAAAATTTAGCAAACACGAGGAAACTAATGAGAACGGGCAGTTTTTGATAGATTTTGCCAAAGAAAAAAATATGCTAATAATGAGTACATATTTCGAGAGAAAAAGCATCTACAAAGCAACATGGCGATCCCCAGATGGAAAAACATTAAATCAAATTGACCATGTACTAATAGAGAGAGAAGACCGAAAATGTATAAAGAACGTGCGAACATACAGAGGACCAGACGCTGACTCGGATCACTTCATGTTAGGAATTAAAATGGCTCAACTGATACCGGAAGAAAAAAATCGCAAAAGAAAAAATAAGAACACAAATAAACCAGTGCGGCTTGTAACGCAAGAAGAACAAGAAATGTATAGAAAAGGTATCGATAGAAAATTAAATGAAATACACCTAGAAGGGCACATAGACAAGGACTGGGACAAAATTCAGCAGATTATCAGTAACACAGCTAAAGAATGCAATAAAAATATAACTAAAAAGAAAAAGGATTGGTTTAACGAAGAATGCCAGAAGGAAATTGAAGAAAGAAGTAAACTAAGGATGGATATGATCAAAAGTGATACGGAAGAAACAAGAAACAGATATGAAAAACAAAGAAAAATCGTAAAAAAAGTTTTGAGAATGAAAAAGAGAAAGTACATGGAAAATCAGTTGAAAGAAATAGAAGAAAATTACAAAAATCGAGAAATTAGAAATTTATATCAGGGAGTAAAAAATGAAAAAAATAGATACCAACAAAAAACAATATTTTACAAAGATAAAGAGGGAAACGCCATTAGTGGAGAAAATGAAATAACCGCTAGATGGAAAGAATACTTCGATGAATTGCTAAATGACGAAAACAGGATAGAACAGCAACAGCCTATAAGAACGGAGAAACATAGGAACCAAATAAATGAGACAGAAGAAACACCCCCTACCAGAAACGAGATAAAGGAAATAATAAAGAAATTAAAAAATAACAAGAGTCCAGGAAGTGATAATATAACTGCAGAGATGTTCAAATATGGAGGGAAAACGCTAGAGGAGCAAATGTTCAAATTAATAAAGGAGATTTGGATTAAAGAACAACTACCACAAGAATGGACAGATGCAATTATATGCCCACTTTATAAGAAAGGCGATAGGACAGATTATCAAAATTACAGGGGGATATCACTATTGAATACTGCATACAAAACTCTTGCAGCGTGTATAAAGGACAAATTGGCAGGAGTGATAGAAAACATTGTCGGCGAGTACCAATGTGGCTTCAGACCTGGTAGAAGTACAACAGATCAGATATTTACGCTCAGAGAATTGCAAGCGGAAAGTTATCAACACAATCTGCCGACAAGGGTCCTCTTCATTGATTTCAAACAAGCGTACGATAGAATAAAACGGAACCAAATGAGCAAAGCACTAGAAGAATTGGGTATCAGTAGAAAACTTATAAGAATGATACAAATAACGTTGTCCAAGACTGAGAGCAGAGTTAAAATAAATAATATAATGTCGGAAAAATTTGAAGTCAGTGAAGGAGTAAGGCAAGGAGATCCCCTATCATCGATACTATTCAGCTTGTGTTTGGAGAAGGTCATACGAGATGCAAATGTCAACAGAGAGGGATTGTTATACCAAAGAAAGCACCAATGTCTAGCCTTTGCAGACGATGTAGTAATACTGGCTCGAAGCAAATGGGAGCTACAAGAAGTAGTAAAGAGGCTAGATAGAGAGGCAAAGAAAATAGGCTTAGCCATCAACGAAAGTAAGACAAAATACATGGAATGGATAGATGACAGTGAACAAAAAGGAGGAAATCTAAAAATAGAAGTAGAGGGTGAAAAAGCATATATATTTGAAGCAGTGGAAAGATTTACATACCTGGGGTCGATGTTCACATGCAAACCAAATATTAGAGAGGAGCTCCAATCAAGAATAATGGCAGGAAACCGATGCGTGTACTCCTTAAACAGGCTATTAAAAAGTAAACAGATATCTAGGAATGCCAAAATAAGGATTTACAAAACAATTATACAACCAGTGGTAACCTACGCCAGTGAAGTGTGGACACTGAACAAAAGCGAAACAGGTATGCTCCAAATATGGGAAAGAAAGGTTTTGAGAAAGATATTTGGAGGCAAGATAGTAGACAATACATGGAAAAGAAGAACAAATAAAGAATTAGAAGATATGTACAAGAATCCTAGTATAGTGGGAGTAGTAAAGGCTCAGAGACTCAGGTGGCTAGGGCACATAGAAAGAATGACAAATTCTCGAGTACCAAAAATGATTCTGATGCATACAATGGGTACAAAAAAAAGAAGAGGAAGGCCGAGAAGTAGATGGAAGCAAGAAGTAGAGAAAGACCTAGAAACACTGGGAATAGAAAGATGGAAGGACAAGGCTAATAATAGGAAGAAATGGAAAACAATAACAGCTCAAGCCATGGGCCTACTAGGCTCGTAGTGCTATTATATATATATATATATATATATATATATATATATATATATATATATATATATATATATATATATATATATATATATATATATATATATATATATATATATATATATATATATATATATATATATATATATCATGAATGATCTCATCGCACATTCAGCAGAAACAATGTTTAGTCTTAGGCAGATAAGATTTGTTTATTTAGATTCCTCCTAACTAAATTGTAATGGGAAAAATTTGAATTATTAAGTGGGTGTCCGTAACAATAAGTGTTATATTTTTTATTAGCTGAGGTTACATATTTTAAAAAAATTTCGATACGATATTACTGTCGGCGTCGCAATGCAAATTATATTATAATTAGAGGGCGGCTATTCTCAAAATCTGGATAATTAATTTCAAAGTGAAGAAGTCGTCTGCTGGAAAAGAATGTACAAAATATTTTATTTTTACATTGTAATTATGACCTCTGAGCACGTGTCAAATGTGTTTTTTAATGATAATTTTGATTTGGTATATATGTTTATGGTATTAATCGTAATGCGCATACGTCAAGTTTTTCAAATTTTTATTACATATTTGTTTGCGCCTCATAGAGTCTTTAAGCATATACCCGAACTACTATACTCGCTAAAACTACACCCAGTCCTAACTGCAAGACGCAAGAGTCTCGCAGGCTTAGTCTTGTTCTTGCTTAAATCTTGCACAGTCAGTCTTGGTCTTGCTTTTGTTAAAATTAGGCGGTCTTGGTCTTGAGAAAACGCGAAATCTAATTTGGGCATCTACTTATTGCATTTAAAGATGTACTTATTGCATATTAAAACATAGTTTTCGATATTGTGAAATATAACGGTACTTTACGAAATTAATTTACTCTTGAGCGAAATTAATAATTTTTGACATCGTATAATATTGATAACATTTTATATCTGATGGTTGCATCTTAGGTTTTAGGCCATGCACAAGTTTTTATAAAGAATTAATTTTTTTTCGTAAAATTAATAATAAAAAAGTTTCCTATATGATGCCGACTTAATTGGACATACTGTATATGTTGTTCTTCTTGTGTTAGCAGTAAATACTGAAAAGTTAAGAGGGGAGACATTAAGCTTACGAGAAATTATCCTGTCCTCTCCCTATTAGGACAAAGATACAATATACAACATGTACCAAGAAAGTTCTGCGCTAGATTGTTATAGCTACGCATTTAAAATGCGGATTAAATTCTAATTTACTGATATATACTTACAAAAGTCCCGTTCCTAGTACAATCAGCATAGTCCCTTGGAAAACCTTCTTGCACAGATCTCTCCTTTTATCACACGGCTGAGTTCTGGCTCCGCAATGACCACAGCATCTACAGCAACAGAAGAATATACCCACTAGTGGAACAAGCACGGTGATCAGCAAGAGGATAAGTAGAACCAGCAGTAAAGGCCAGTAGTACTTGAGCATCTCGCCTATGGTGACTCCATCGTTGAGTCGTGGGTAGTAGTACAAGCCGACTTGTTTCCATACTATTAGTTCTAAAAAAGATACAAACGTTTTTTAATCAGATTGAAGTCTGTTTTGATTTGATATATTCATTAAAACTCACTGAAAATTATGAATTTAATTAATTTTATCTTTTAAATATTTGATGGATTCGACCGTTACTTGATGGAAATTCATTTTATGTAACAATAAAACACTGAAAACTTTGTTTTCAAAACTGCTACAAAATTTATTTTATGTTATATAATATATAATAATTATAATAATAATACACGCAAAAGTCTAGGGACATTTTTATAAATAGACGTTTTTTGGTTATCTCTAATCAACTTAAAAAAAGTAATACAAAATTTGTAGTTTAAATTGGTGTTTAATATGTCAAAAATCATAAATTGCAAAAAAAAACAGAAAACAGGAGCAAAAAAAATATATTGCAAATCACCCATGTTTCACATACCACTACAAAATGTCAAAAATACGAAATATAAACTTAAAATAAAGTATGTCCACCACGTTGGTTTATCACAGCTCTACATCTACTGCTCATGCTCCGAATCACATTGTTAATGTCTGCTTGAGGTAGTTGTGTCCATTGTTCTCTCAGAAGCTCTTTTAATTGAAACTCATTGCAGATATTGCCCATATGTGGAGTAATTATTCGTTGGAGCATGTCCCATATATGCTCAATGGGATTCAAGTCCGGTGATTGTGCTGGCCACGGCAATACAACAATACCCTCGTTATCCAACCAGTTTGTTACAATATGCGCAACATGTGGTCGAGCGTTATCATGCATAAAGTAAAAAATGTCTTCAACAGCAGCAGCAAACGGGTGCAAAATAGGTTCAAGAATAGTGTCCAAATATTGCTGACTTGTAAGAAAGCCACGTGGGAAAATGGGGTCAGTTCTTTCGTCAATTATGGTTCCGCCCCTTACCATTAATGTACTACCTCTGTATGCATATACTTCTTGAAGATGTAATCGTTTCCCATTTCCGGGTCGTCTACAAACTCTTGTCCGACGAGAATCTGGATGAAATTCATATCTAGACTCGACACTAAACAAAACTGTGGTCCAGTCATTGTCAGTCCAATTCTGAAACTCTTGATACCAGGTTAATCTTGCAGCGCGATTGCCTCTAGATATAGGTGGACATCTCAGAGGTCGCCGACTATGAAGATGGGATTCATGGAGACGATTCCCCCCAACAGTACTGTTGCTAATTGTTACATTATGTGCAAGCTGTAATTCATTAACCAGTTTGGGTGCTTTGATTGTTGGCTGCCTTTTGGCCTTTAAAATTAAATATCTGTCTTGAGCGATGGATGTAGAGCGACCACATCATAGATGTTGCTCGGCTGGACTCCCAGTGACTCTATACCGACGCCACAAACGACTTACGACGCTTTGGGAGACACCCAGCTGGCCAGCAACTTGAGTTTGTCGCATACCAGCATAAAGAATTCCCACATCTCTATTTATTCCGTCCAATGATAAATGTTGTCGTTGCATAGTAAAAAGAAAGTGTGAAAAGTGTCTTTAACTCACCTATCAAAGAAGGATGGTATAAAGTGACTAAAATTAAAATTAGACAAAACATAAAAATGTCGATTTTTTTGTCCCTTATAAAAAACATTTTAAAACTCGTACTGCTATCAGTTTTACAATTTTTTTTAATAAGAAGTGAGTGTCTGTATCAACAATTATAGTACAAGCAAATTTATATGGTCAAGAAATTTCTGTCATTGGTACTGTCAAATTATTAAAATATCCATAGACTTTTGCGTTGTGTGTATTATATTATATTATATAAATTATTCGTAAGCTAGTTCGTAAGGTTTTATTATGCAATTTGCAATATAGTGAAATTTTGCAATGCATTGTATTGTTTTATTCTGTGATAATGACGATTTATTTAATTTTAGTAAATTTTAATTGTTACTATTACTTTTTTATAACTTTTATAAGCTTTGTCCATAAAATTGTTCAATTTTCATATTTTACATATTTCTATAAATTTATTATATAATAATAAATGTGGTGGAAGTTTGGAAAACAAAGTTTTCAGTGTTTTGTTGTGAAAATTTAATCTTTGACATTCTTCGCTCCATGTATATTCTTTGCCTTCTTCTGTCAACTTTGTTAATGGCTTGGAGATGTTGGCAAAACCTTTGACAAAACGACGGTAATATGTACATAGGCCAAAAAAACTTCTATTTTCGTGTTTATCTCTTGGTACTGGCCAATCCTTAATTGCTGCAAGTTTTTCAGGATCAGCTGTTACACCATTACTTGCTACAATATGTCCCAAGTACTTCACTTCTCGTCGAAACAAGTGATATTTCTTCGGACTCAACTTCAAATTCGCTGCCCGCAATCGTTGAAAGACTTCTGTCCGATTATTGACATGTTCATCGAAGGATCTTCCTACTACAATTACATCATCCAAATAAACCAGGCATGTTTTCCATGTTAGACCTCTTAAAACTGCCTACATTAATCTTTCAAATGTGGCCGGGGCATTACATAAACCAAAGGGCATAACTGTGAACTGTCAAAGCCCTGATCCTATCGAGAATGCGGTTTTCTCACGATCAGCTGGCTCCATGTCTACTTGCCAATATTAACTTTTCAGATCGAGTATGGAGAACCAACAAGAACCAGAAAGTGTATTTAAAGTATCATCTATTCTGGGCAAAGGATAACTATCTTTTTTAGTTACCGCATTGAGCCGTCGGTAGTCAATACAAAAACGTGTTGAACCATCTTTCTTCTTTACTAGCACTACTGGTGATGTCCATGGACTGTTTGACGGTTCACTTACCCCTTGTTTGGTCATATCTTTGATGATGTCTTCGGCTTCATCTCTTTTCGCAAATGGAAGTCGTCTAGGTTGTTGTCTGATTGGCTAAGCGTCTCCGGTATTAATTTTATGCTTTACTATGCTTGTTTTGCCATTATCCTTCTTGTCAATGGCGAAAACATCTTGAAATTCTATCAGCATAGACTTCACTTTTTTAGTTCGTTCATCAACAAGATCTTGGCACGTTTTAATCATCGTCTCAACAAGCTCCTTTGGATACTTAGATTTCTACGGTTTCTCATTAGGTATCATGGAACAAATCGAAGCCACGGGAACACACTGTCCAATCAAAGTTCTTTTACTTAACTTAATAGCAGTTCCCTTTAAATTCATAACTCTTACAGGAACGACATCTCGAATTCTCACCAAAGCTTTTACCGTTAAGAGCTCGGCATTGTTCACATCTTCGACCATCCTTAAACTTCCCTCTCGGCAGTAACCATCCGGTCTGGTCATCAAAATTTTCTCACTATTACCGGGTATTGTTACGTCGCAAGTAGTTATTAAGGTGATAACATCTTCTTTCTCTTCATGAAACGGCAACTCTTCACCACTGATCTCGAGAACTCCATTTTTGACATTCAATACAGCCCCAACTTTCCTTAGTAAATCCATCCCAATATGAACTCGTCGGAGATCTCTGCAATTAATACTCTATGTTTCACTGTGGTCTGGCCAATGGATACTGACACATTAGCCTCGCCATATGTATTAATTATCTCACCAGTTGCTGTTCTAAGCTTTACTGTTGCAGGCGATAATTTAAGATGGTCTCGTACTACTTCTGGCCGTGCAATAGTTCTTGTTGTACCTGTATCTACCAAAAACGATCTACATTTAATATTAATACGACCCTCGATGTACAAGCTATGAATTCCACAGGAGGACGTAATGTTCACAGTTACTATGGGGGCTGTGTTTCTCGAGGTCGGCAGTTGCCCTTGGTGTCGACCCGTTCTAGTTTTCCGACTGTTGTATCATTTTCTTGCAATTACGGCGAATTTGACCTACGTCATCACAATCACAACATCTCAGCTCGCGTCTCTTCGACATCGTGTTACGAACTACTTTTCGTACCATTTCTTCCAGACGTTCATCGTTTGGTTCGTCGCTCCGTGAAGTTTGACTAGCTGTTTCATGTTCCAAAGCAATAGCGAGCGCTTCATCTAGAACTTTCGGTCTTGCTAGTCGTAAAGCTTTCTGTAATTCACTTTCTTTTAACCTATTGACGAAGGTATCTACAGATATTTCTTCCAAAATGTTGTCTGGTACCTCCGGATAAGCTAACCGCACTATACGAGCAACATCTGCTTCAAACTCTTGCAAATTTTCACTTGCTCGTTGAACTCTACTTCTTAGTTGCGCCTTGTAGACTTGTTGTAGATGAGCATCTCCGTAACGTTTGTCTAGTCGAGTAAACAAGGTCTGGTAACATTTTTCTTGACCCTTAGGAATCGATCTTAGGATATCTGCAGCATCACCTCGTAAAGCAGCAGTCAAGGAAACAGCATTTTCTTGTTCTGTCCAATGATTGGCTGTAACAGCTTCAAATTATCTAAGGTATATGGACCAAGAGGACTTTCCATCAAATGGTGGCAATTTGAATCTCATATGATGTGTCATTTCGTCTCTAGGTGATCCTTCTTTCACTACCGGATCTAAAGCTACCGTATTAATTGGTGGTAGCACTTTCGTGTTAGTTATCATGGTCTCTAATTATTTGATCTTCTCTTCCATGTTGTTTACATTTTTCTGCATCTGATCGAATGTTTTAGTGACTTCTTCAAATTTCTCATTATTCTTTTTAGAAGTTTCTTCCATTATTCGAGAAACATTTTCAAATTTCTCGTCGAATCTTCTATTAACATTTTCGAATTTATTATCAATTATTAGAAAAACATTTTCAAATTTCCAGTTCCGTCTAAGCTTTTAACGAGAGTAGACGTATTTACGATAAGTATAGTGGTAAAAACAAAGTTTATTTTGTGAAATGGAAGTAGTTAGAAATGAGATTGATGATCCTGGTGGAACAACATCATTATCTGGTGAGTCGTTTTAATAACAAACGATTATAAAAATGATAATGATCCGAATCTTATCAGAAAACATTACGATAAAAACATTCGATACCGGTTGTGTGACACTGGCCCATACATTGTGTATGTAGA